TCATGGGTTCAAAAACCAAAACTGGTTCTAGCAGATGACCGTAACATCCATTGTGTATTATTAAATTAATTCCCTTTAATGCTAGATGCATGCTAGATTAAAATGGAAAACACTCTGTCCCTTGGATAAGACATCAAATGGAGGCTCTTACTCGCCACTCACCACTTATACGTGTTAACAACCAATTGCACTCTCCAGAAAAGAGTAGGGGAAACCCCCCCCCCCATGTAATGTACATCATCACATCCCAATCATTTGTAACTGGAGGAGAAAGGGTTGTATGGTAATGAACTTCACTTATCCCCTCCCGGGCACCAGAATACATGAAACATGAATACATGAAATGATATTAAATAATGACGATAATAGTATGTGCTGGAGGGGAAGGGCCTATGGAAATGCATTTACCTACATAGTAGGGGACTAGAATAATCATGACCACAATGTTTTTACATAAAGCGCTTAGAAACGTAGTATTAAAGATAAAGTTGAGTTCCGGTCATGGCGATTTGGCCCAGTCTTGGTAAAGTAACAAGCACTGTACACAAAAAGATGTATATGGGACTACATAAACGGTGTCGGGGGCTACTAACCTTGATTTCCTTATCTTTCTATGCTCATTACTCAGTCATTGTACATTTTCTACCAAAATTATTCGGCAAATGACATTTATTTGTAATATTGAACATTCAGTGTAAGTTTCGTTTGATTCTGTGAGAATTTATTTTCTCTTTTTACCAGAACTCAAGTTTATCTTTAAGCGCTATACAATATGACTATTATTGTTATTATTATGTGGTCGTGAATTGTCGTTTCTAGTGGTGTTTTGTTTCAAGGCATCCATGCATGTTTAAGCTGGTTTGACCCTTTTATAATTGAGGTGATGAACTGCTTGTACATGTATCATCTGCTGAGAGCCTGGGTGTGTGTTTACACATATCCTTCTATGCATAATTATCAAATGATGAAGTTAGGTCATAATCAAAAGATTGGTTGAGGGTGGACATATGACCAGGGGGTGTTTCACAAAGATCCTAAGTAGAACTTAACTCTAAGTTGGACTTAAAAATTATGGACAGCCATTGGAGTCTTTAAATGAAATATATTCAAAAGCAGAAATTCAAGTATTTTAGACTTTTTATTAATTCCACATCCAGAACATGAAATCTCCTTGATGATAGAAAATATGAATGATTTCAATAAACAATGAATGCCTTGCAAAATAACTTTTACAAAATATTTTCAAAGATGCTAATGGCTTTCCATATTTTTTAAGTCCAACTTAGAGATAAGTTGAACTTAGGATCTTTGTGAAACACCCCCCAGGCATTAAAGATTCCCTAGTGTGTGATGACCGGTCATTAGAAAGTGATAATGACCAGTCATTAGTATTTTCTGATGAGCGACTGGTTAATCATCAAGAAAGGAAACTATTTTGAAAGTTGACCCTAGATCTATGGAATTTTGGATGAGCGTGATTTGTGAAATGGCAAGAATCTGTGTCATCATTTCTAAGACAAATAATACTCATTTTATGCTTAGCCAATAGTATACTGCCTCCCTTTGGTATATTTACCTTTGCAACACTCCAAACACCTTCGGATTTCGCCTCAACTATCGGACTGTTCTTAAGGGTACCTTGCATTAATAATTCATATGCCCTCACTGATTTATATCATTTTTTCATTTGCATGTAAAGTGACCCGGTAACGTTGCCTGAGATTCTGAAACAAAATCCTTGATTTAGGTCATGCTGCAATCATAATAATTATAAACCTTTAGGTCAGTCAGGAATCTCATGACTTTTACAAGCCGATCTCCTGTCTGATTATCAAGATATTTATGATTGGAAATCGAAATTTCATGTTTTTGATTTCCAAACTGTTTTTGACTACAGTCTATTGGGGAAAATGAGTATGGTAAAAACCAGTCACTCAAATCACTCAAAGATTTTTAATTTTTTGAGTATCTTCATGATCATTTTGAAGCACAATTTTTGTTAGGGCTTCAATACTACACCATATCACAGACACTGATAACACGTAGGGCCATGCATCTCAGATTTAACATTGTTAAACAATGCCTTTAAAGGAAACCAAAACCTTCATACTAAGTTACTTTTATTGTAAAGTTTAAGATATTTGAAAAATATCAGTGAAAATTTGAACAAAATCGGGCAAGGAATAAGGAAGTAAGAGCTTTTTGAAATGACTAGTCACCAGAGGGCGGTATTCAATTTGATGACATCATCTGTGAACAACTCTCCATGCCTTTTGTACATCAAATTTCATGTTTTTCCTTCTTTCTTGTGATTGAGATAATGTACTCCCCCGAAAGCAAGATATAGAATGCAAAATGATATTCTACTTCACATGTTATGAAGTCGGATCAAGAACACAAATAATTGGTTTCCTTTAATGACCTTTTGACTCTTTACAGATGGTACGTGTTTATTGTGCTGTTTACCTGTCAATCAATATTTAATGTTTTTGCATTGTTAGGGTCATGGTATGATTCAGTACAATTAAAACATAAAGTGGCGTATGTGCAGGTCATAATGTATCTTGGTAACAATGAAAAGTCTCATCCTATTGTTCAAGCATACAATGAATGGGTTTGCTTCAGCATGTTATCAGCATTTTTAGACCCTGATATTTCATCTGTATGCTCTATGCAATATGGTGCTCTGTGATGTAGATCATAGTAATCAATCATTTTAATAGGTTGTGTCTTATTGTGCTGATTTCACATATTAGTGGATGTGGGTTTTGATTGATGCCTGTGGGCGCATGGGACTGATAATGTATGTCTGATGATGATCATGAGGCAAACACATGCCATACATGCAGTCTGTCCATTAAAGGCATTGTTTAACAATATTTCAGTTTTACAAATCTGAGATGCTTGGCCCTACGTGTTATCAGTGTCTGTGATATGGTGTAAAAATATTGAAGCCCTAAAACATTGCGCTTCAAAATGATCATGAAGTGGCTCAAAAAAGTAAAAATCTTTGAGTGACCGGTTTTACCATACTAATTTCCCCAATAGACTGTAGTGTTATAAAAACCATTGGGAAAACGTTTTTTGAAATTAATATCTTGATAATCAGACAGGCGATCGGCTTAAAAGTCATGGGATTCCTGACTGACATAAAGGTTTATAATCATGATTGCAGCATGAGCTTAATCTTAGATTTAGTTTTAGAATCTGAAGCAAAGATACCCAATCCATTTAATAACAAAATAAATAATCAGAAGTGGCATTGTGTTGAGCTGATAGATTTGAATTTGATATCGGTGTATCCAAGGAATAGCTATGTTTTTTACAACATACATTTACTATCGCTAGAATGCAGAGGCTATAAGCACTAGCAGTTTGATAGTAAGAAGTTATGTTCCAGCAGGGCTTGTAGTATCTGGAATTTATTTGTACAGCGAGACATATTTTTTTATTACAGGGAGAAAGGATGTTTTGTTCATAATTATATGAAATTCCCTTTAATAGCAAATCTATGACTTGGTTTGCATCTCAAAGGAAGCATAGTTAAGATTTCTTTCAATACTAGCTCTCCCCTCCTACCTATCTATTTCCTCCTTTTGTACAGTTTTAATCAGTTTACAGTTGCGATTCTTGCTCTCGATTACAATAAGAATTTCTTAAAAAATGACACTCTAAAATAGAGTTGATTAAATTTTGTTGATTGCATGAAGCACTTGACACTGATAATCCTTTTGAGTCTAACTCTTTACAAATAACAACTTTGAATAATATTTTTGTTTCTAGAATTAGAGTTAAATGCGCTTTCCAAACAAACTTCTCTTTTCATTTACTCTCAAGTGCTGTCAGGTGAAACTACTTGTAGTTAGCTTTCCCATGAGCATCCAAAATACAAGCCCCCCCCCCCCCCCCCCCAAAAAAAAAAAAAAAAAAAAATTGGTCTACTGAACATCCTTTCCCCACAATGGGCTGGATTATTTTTTTTTTTCTTCATGAAATTATGGCATAAACATGCACTACAATATGAGCATATGGTATTATATATTAATCAAGTTCATGGACTCTGATTCGTCACAAACATACGGTACAGATTATTCTTTTTTATTCATTTCTTGCAGAATGAAATTAGCAAGTCCTAAATTGCAGATTTGTATTAGTTTGAACTGCATTCATGAACCTGCATATTTCCTTATTATTTTAAAATCTATTTGCAAAGTTGTAGAAAAATATTGAAAAGTTTCACGACCTTTCACTTCAGATTGCACAATTCGTGATTTCCTGAAATGTGTTTCGTACACATGTTTTTTTTTGGCACAGATCAATATTTTGTATCAATTTTTGGCAGAATGAAATTAGCAAGTCAGTAAATTGCAGTTTTTTTATAGTTTGAACTGCATTGATGAACCTGCATATTTCTTTATTATTTTAATATCTCTCTGCAAAGTTGTAAAAAAAAAAAGTTTCACAACCTTTCACTTCAGATTGCAAAATGCGGATTCCCTGAAATATGTCCCGTACACATACAACGTGTCTTTTATCGATTTTCATCAAAAAATGAAAATCTCTTGACATGACTACCGTTTGTTTTGGAATACCACCATTAGTTAGATACCATCCTCGTTTATCGAAAGGCAAAGTTTTGTCAGTGTTCAGATGGTGGTAGACTAGAATTCATAATCAATTTTATAATATATATGTATGGAGAGTTTTCATTTGTGGATGAAATAGAAGACTTACATACATATGTCATACAGTATACAGAATTGCTCTAATATGCATATAACTTGCATGGATCTATTATGATAGTCTTAAACTGAGTAAATAATGATATTAACAAATGATGAATCTTTTATAGTACCGGTACATTTTTCTAATAGAAGGAAATGCATATTAGCAATGTGCTTTACATACCAATTAGTTTTCTACATGACTAACATACAGTACAAGCTTTAAATGAAGATAAATGATTTATAATCCCTTTTATTTGTCTTTTTATTCCCTAGATCTCATGTTTGTGATCAAGAAGAATAGCATCCACGTGTACTGCAACCCCACCAACTACTGTTACCTCCTGCCTTATGTAGCCCACTGGCCAGGCTTGAGGTTCCATCTTATGACAGAGGCCGAGGTAAGTTTGGTATTTAAAGAGGGGGGGGGGGGGTCAGGGGGCAGGGGTGCAACCCCACCAACTACTACTACCTCCTGCCTTATGTAGCCCACTGGCCAGGCTTGAGGTTCCATCTTATGACAGAGGCTGAGGTAAGTTTGGTATTTAAAGGGAGGTCAAGGGGCAGGGGTGCAACCCCATCAACTACTAATACCTCCTGCCTTAATATGTAACCCACTGGCCAGGTTCACAATTTATTTATTTTTTATTTTTTATTTTTTAATTATTATTTTTTAATTTCTATTTTTATTATTATTTCTATTTTTTTTTTTTTTTTTTTTTTTTTTTTTTTGGGGGGGGGGGGGGGGGGGAGGGGTTCAGAGGTTGGAGGGTGCAACTTCATTAGATCTACTACTACGTCCTGTCATGTGCAGCCTGAGACTGAGGTTATAAAAGAGGTTGTATTTTATTTTTTTATGGGGGAGGGGCAGTGGGAAGGGGTGTCACGCCACACCACCTACTACCACGTCCTGCCTGACATGTATGTAGCCCACTCACCAGGGTTAAGATTTTAGATTGTATCTTATGACAGAGGCCAAGGCAGGATAGATACATTTTTTTTGAAGGGAGGGTTTACCGTATTCTTGAAGTGCCCATATGCTAATAAGGGGGATGCCTTGAGCCTCTCACCCCTTTAGTCTGCTGTGGGACAATTATTCTTTTACGTTCAAATGGAAATTTGCCAATACTATATAGCTACAGTAATCTCCTTGATCCCCTGTATATCTCAAAATATTCTCCCATTCCCCCTTGGATACGACTATTGTTGAATTTGTTTATTAAATACTATAGTATTAATGACTGCTTTGAGAGAAATATTTGTTTTTATACGCTCAAGGGAAGGTTAGAATTGTGCTATTACCCGAGGCATGCCGAGGGCAATAGCCCAATTTTAACCTTCCCGAGAGCGTATAAAAACAACTATTTCTCGAATATTAAAGAAGTCATTAATACTTTTATATGCCAAAAAAAAATAGACTAAAAAATAAAAAATAAAAAATGATTTTTTTTTGTCGAAGATGGGATTCGATCTCTTGCGTACAAAAGGTGATGTAACTAAAATCAGCGCCTTAAACCGCTCGGCCATCGCACTCTGTCACCATATCTAGCAGTTTTCTCTAATATATGGGTCATTCCATCGGGTTGGGTCTTTTCAGCATTTTCACGTGTTTGAATGTTTAGAAGCTATTTACTCAAATTTGAATGTATTTTTAGAAAAATAAAAGTATGTTATATTGAAGAGTAATGTAGTACAGAATAAATAAACATGAAAACAGAAACTTCTTCATCATATTTTTTTTTTGGTGAGAGTTTTACTACCGATGTCTCAGCGATTTTGAGGGTGAAAGTTGTGACATGAAAACATGTCATTTTCATGAACTTATTTCTGGAAAAAAGTTCATCATAATGCAATGTTTCCTATTTAAAACATGTCACCTTTAGTACCCCTACTATGTCTGAGAAGCTCAAGTGAAATGTGCAAAAAATCGGCAAGTTATTTCATATTGAAAAAACACAATACCTACGTTACCAACGATGTCCTAGGCACTTTTTTCGTAACGGCGGTAATTCTAGCATTTTACACAAATTTAGCAGGATATTTTCTCAGAAAGTTTCATCTTATTAGGAAGGTACAACCCCTCATGAACATATGTAGAAAGAATGATGATTAAATCGGTCGGTAAATATAAGAAAACAATTAATTTACCGCGAAAATCGGGCGCGATGTCCTTCGTAATTTGGTAACGTAGGTGTGAAATTACGGTGTTTGAGATATAAACCAGCCCGCTAGCTTCAGTTTTCGGTGTTAAAATGACCTGCTAGTTATTCACGAATGCGCAGAACATGTTTTTTGCCGGACTGCGACGACCTACCCCTACAGTGCAACCACAAACGTGAAGATGTCTTTGTAACGTGGTGCAGCCATTTTCGCCCGTCAGCGCCCAAATTGGTACGTAATATGTTTTTTAAGTTATTTTTATGGCCCGAATTATTATCATGGACAATGAAATTCCATGTTTTAAAAATGTAATTCTGTTTTAAATTGTGTTATTTTCAACTTAAACCGGTTTTCAAACCATCACATGTGATTGAATATTTTACTGTTGTCCCACATACTGATATATGTGTTATAACGAAACAAGCAAAATCAATGCCGGACTTTTACCCTTAAAAAGCTAGTTTCTTAAACAGAAATTGAATTTAGTTATAAGAATCCCGTAAATAATGATATTCATGATGTTCCTACACCTCAGATTTTTTCTGACAAGTTTTAAATTAATTAATATTATTTATATGGTGCCATTAATTGTCATTGAACAATGATGGCTAAGCCTAACGAAAAACACAAGTTATTGAACATTGCTTCCTTCAAGTTAGGAAGTTCAATCTGAGACCCGAAATACACAACTTTTTGGGCACAAAAGGGGGTTGAGGGTTGGGGTTGAGATAGAGAAGAATGGGTTAAAGGGGGAGGGCACCCCCCCCCCCCCCCTCTGATTCAATTAAAATTGGATACATAATAATGTAATGAGCCTTTTTTTTTTTTTAATATAATTTTTTTAAATTTTTTTTTATAAATTAAATAATCATTGATCTGGCTCCCCTTTCCCCTCATCCAAAGGTTGAAGTGAGGGATAAGGGGCTTCAACACCTTCCCTCCCCCTCCAAATAATGATAAATAACAAATATAATTTTTTAACAAAAATTTATAATTCAACACAAATATTAAACTTAAAAGAAAAATCAAAACGAACAACCAATAATAATACCTACTTCTATTTGGGCATGCAACGAGCCAAAAGTGAGGAACTCCCTATCCACCTTGCAATCCTCTGTCTAGTTGTTCCAATCTTAATTCTTACAATTTGATTTTACAACAGATCTAGATAGAAGTACTTGATAATTGCAAACACAACACACGTTTGAACTGAAAAATCACAGAAACAGTTTACAGTTTTGTTTTATTTTTATCTCATTTAATATTCTTTACTCATTGGTTTTTATTTATTTCTTTTCATGCATATTTATTAGATTGCTGCATCCATTTCATTCATGGCTCCTATACCTCCCTTGAGGATTCAGCTCCGGCAGAGATCAAGAGAGCAGGCAAAATGACCAGTCATCTAAACCTTCCTGGAAAACAAAGATCTTTCCAATCTAATCACTATTTTGAAGAAGATATAAAGTTGTTCATTGATATCTATCAATATACCTCTTGTATGAATACTGTTTTAATTTACTGATCAAGGGATAAAATATATTTCAGATGACATTTGATGTAGTCTGTCATTTTTCAATGAGTATAAGAGGATAGTTACTCTAATATCATACTGATGTTACTCGGACATGATGTCCGTGTAACATAGGTAACTGGAGGTGTTGAGGTGAATATAGACCATAAATCTTGCAGGTTTCCTTTCAATTGTGTTATCATCTCATTAAATATGTTTCATGCATCAATTAATTAGCACATTTCATGGAATGTAGCCAAGATTTTCTATGCAAGAGAAAAGATTACCCTTTAGAAAAAAACATGATCTGAAGATTGCTAGTTCCTCATTTGTTTCATGTTTATAAATTGATATAATGTTGCTGTGTTCAAGTTTTAAGTATTCTAAACTATTGCTCCCATCATCTAAATGTTTTCCACACACAAAAAAGTGGAGTACAGACTGTGACAAAGTTTCAGATCAGAAAATAAATGAGCAAGTAAAAAAAAGATGTCCTTGTAACGTTGGTTTTTGGTGTGTCTGTTTTTGCATTTTAAATGAAAGTGTGCGAAGGAATACACACAATTCCAGTGGAATCTTTTGAAGAATGGGTGTTAAAAACAGGATATAACAATAAACAAATTATTCAACAACTCTGAATTTTGAACCTTCATGTCACAATTTATGACCCAACCCGATGGAATGACCCATATACATTAAAAAAGATTGAAAACGGCTTCGCGTGGTGGATGCTTCGCCGCTGCTCCATTGAACGGGCCCTTCTTTTACTTTTACTTTTGCAATGCATATTGGCACGAACTTAGATCAAGATCTATCGGCAGATGTTGTTTTTTTGTTTTTGGAAGTTTATTTTCGTCTTCATGACAACAATGCAAGATAAAATTGTCGGTAAAATCGATCGAGATTCAATTGTATTGAAATTACCGACCAATTCTTCGCACACGTACGGTATCCTCGATCGCTCAGACCATTTTTTAACATGTTAACCTATGGGGTAACCATGGAGACTGAACTATTTTCCCGGTAACCATGGTTACTGGGATTTTAGAACTGTTTTAACCATGGTTACTGGGAATTTTACAGAAATAGTTAAAGTTTATGAATGCAATTTCGACCAATCAGATGGCTGGATTTCTTAAGTGAGGTATATAAAAAATTATAATTGCATAGGCAGTAGTGGTTGACATCCATTGAGTATGTTTCTAGTGTGATGGAGTTGAGCTCTTTTCGTCTACAGTCATCTAATCATGCTAATGCAAACAGTGAAGCAATATTTCTTTTTCCAGACCTAACATTCATTTTTCATTTGATATTGCACTTATAGGTTAATGTACTTTTCATATGTTATTCTTCCATGCAGCATTAATCAGGAACATGCCATTTTGCAGAAATTCTTTTACACTCCTTTTCTCATTTTAATAATACATCCCTATCCCTTGATGATATGCACTATTGAAGTCGCACATTGATACATGGAATTTGTTTAAGAAAAAAGGAAGGACCATTTGGAAAAAATTTATGGCAATATCAAGATAGTAAAAACACTTTATATCAATATTTGCTCATTGTTCATTTGTTTATGTTCATTTGCATCTATATGTTT